CCACCGCTGTGAGAACCTCAGATCCTATATGTAGTTGTGTATACATGCTGTCCCTTACACACGAGTTTTGCTCTTTTATAGTGCTAGATGACGTTACAGAGGGATTCGTAAAATCAATTAAATATTCACCAAATTCTTCCGAATTAAATCCATCATATTGCCATATTTAGAATGAGGGCATGTAGCACGAATTTGGGAGAAGAGGAAGCATATGGGATATTGGTGAGAAAGCCAGAAGGAAAGAAACAACTGGTAAGACCAGAACGTAGGTGGGTGGAAAATATTAAAATGTACCTTACAGAGATAGGATGGGATAGTATGGATTGGATTGACTTGGCTCAGGATAGGGACCGGTGGAGGGCGCTTGTGAACACGGTAATGAACCTTCGGGTTCCATAAAATGTTGGGAAGTTCTTGAGTAGCTGCACAACTCGCGACTTCTCAAGAAGGGCTCAGCTCCATGAGTGAGTGAGTGAGAATGGACATAAAGAGCTAGTGTACAGGTTCCAGTGAAATCCGTTTCCTTCAAAGGAGTTAAGGACACAAAGAACTGAAAACACGTGTCAACATGGAGAAGAGAAAATTCTTGACTCTACCGGGACTGGAACTCTGACCCCTCGGTCGTCCAGCCCGTAGCTAGTTGCTATACCGACTGCGCTATCCCGGCTCCTTCTCAACTATTACATCTGTTTGAAATGCGTTACTCGGTCCACATCAACGCTTCTTACACTCGGACATATGGACGTATGCCCCAGAAGGCCTAAGTTTTTCATCTTTGAATGGACCACCTGATCTAACTCCCCTTGTTGTCTTGGTGACCAGAACATGACTGGAGGTCTCTTAAACGTGTGGGTAGCTGGACGTGTCAGTACCAACTACGTTGGAATATTAATAGTTGTCTAATTACTGCGTGGAAATCACTGTTAATTTCTTGCGTGGTAAATGCATTGTATTCATTTAAAACAAGTACAAATATTATTCGAAGCACTAAAATTTTTCACTGTAATTTTACTTAACATTTTGACATCCATTGGTTACAACGTGAAAGTAACACTGCTTCTTAAATTCCGTAGCCCACCCAGGAAATTGCCCTCCGAGGTCTGAGGTCTGAGGTCTGTGTCGGCTGGTTACAACAAGCGTAGGCCGGCAGGTAGCGTTCTTGGCGGTAACACTTAGCTTGATTACTTTATGACTGCAACCAGAGCGGAGGCTTTGTGCTTAAGCCTCCAAGGGTGGACAATATGACGTGGTCTCTTTAAACAGGGGTGCACAATATTATGCAGTTGTCCTCATTAGGCGGTCAAGCGATTTGTTCCCTTAACCTGAGAAACTTAGTTTCACACCCAGACAACTAAAAATAGTCAGTGATGTGTGATTCAATTTTTTTTTTGTAACCGTAGATAGGGAACAATAAAGCGAAAGGTTCTTAACTACATTGTTACAGTCTTTTCTCGCATTTCATCTCTTTGTGAACATAATTTTGGATTCACACTGTGTTAGCTATTCATTTATACTGTTTTCCCTTCATTCTGGCAAAGAATCATGAACACAAAGATCCTGAGTAATTTTCTCTGCATTTATTTTCATGTGTTTACCCGACCTACTTAATACAGATTCCATGTTTTTCCTCATAGTGTTTATATATTCAGCTACAGAGTTATCATTCTCCATTCAACTCTATCTGATTTTTCTCTGTACAAAACTTAATGATCGAATTATTTCACTCTACGTCAGTCCAGCACAACCAGTCACAGTGGCCGCGCGATCTAAGGCATGAACTCTCTTCTCTCGTTCGGAAGCTCTGTTCATGGTTTCGAATCCCACTCAAGACATGGATGTCTGTATGGTTTATTCCGTGTTTATGTTATTCTGTGTGTAGGTAGCGGCCTTGCGACAGACTGATCCTCCGTCGACGAAGTCCTACCAACTGCCTCTAAGATACGTGTATATACACGTAGATTCAGAAATAATTCTGAATGGGAACAGGGCAGAGGGCCTAACCCATCAAGCAAAAGAAGAAGAAGAAGAGGAGGAGGAAAGAAGGTTTATGTTAGATTTATTGGGAGTACAGGAGATCTGCTACTAAACCAACAGATGATAAATCAAAATTATCCCAACGTGCACACGAAGAAAGTTGCAAGAGAAGGACTCATACATTGAACCGAACACCACTCTCAGGAAATATATAAGTAACCCGCCTCCAAGTCTCTAGTAGCTCATCCGATCAGTGAACACAGCTTANAACGTCGGTTAACACCACATATACACGGCGCCAAAGCCCAGAAGACTGCTTTCTTCACAGCTTAGGGTAGCTCTCCCATTTGAGTTCCCATCGTTGAAGCGGAAGTCAGGAAATTACAGCTCCGGTAGTTTAGCTTGTACGGAAAATTTACATTTTTATGTTGGTACTACGAGTATAAAGATGCCTCGTTTAAGTACTGGTTTTAATTTCTTTTACCTCCTATTTGGTATTTAGAAATTTTCGTCTGCTTGAATTTTAATCCTCGATACTTGTTGATTCTATATGTATATTTATCTTTGTCCAAGCTGAGATTCTGAAGGTCGATAGACTGTGTCCTATCGTTGATCTTGGAATAATTCCTTTAAGAATTAACTCTTTAGTGTTGGCTTCTATTTTGACAGGGGGTATGCGGTAGCGTAGTTGGTTGAGGGGCTATGCTACAAGCCGGAAGGTCGCAGGTTCAAGTCTCTATGAGGTCATTGGATTTTTCCAATTGATTTAATCCTTCCAGCCGCACTAGGCCCTAGGGTTTTCTCAGCCTCTAACAGAAATAAGTACCAGGAATTAATTTAAAAATTTTCCTGCGGAGTTAAGCGCGGCCAGGCCGGCCACAGTAGCCGAGAGGTCTAAGGCATGTATTGTCTTCGCTCGCTTGGAAACAGGGATCTTGGGTTCGAATCCCACTCAAGGCATAGATGTTTAGTGTGTGTGTGTGCGTTTTTCTGTGTTTGTGTACAGGTAGAGGCCTTACGACGAACTGATCACCCGCCCAAGGAGTCCTACCGAATGTGTAAGATCTAGAAAAACCGAAGTGAACGTAGAAGTTCGTGGAGGTAGGCCTAGACCCACTGGGGCTCTTCCCTTCAACTTCCTTTCTGTGAGTTCTAAGAGGATTCCCACAGAACTTTCTGCATCATTTCTTTTTTCCAATATGCCCAGACCATATAACTTCCTTATCTTACTGTCCTAATAAAGAAGATAATATGTACAAATAAAGAAAAATTTCTCCACATATCTCCGTGGAGCAGAGTTATCCTTGAGAAGCTAATAGTCACACAGCTGGTCAAGAACATTTCTCACTTTTCATGGAACCCGAATATTCATTTTTGTGTTCACAAAAACCAGCAACTCCTCCCTTTCCAGAGCCAGATAAATCCGATCCACAACTTCAAACCCTGTTTCCCTGGGGTTCATTTTAATATTTTCCTCTAATTTTCTCCAAAGTCTCCGAAGTTGCATCTCCCTGCCAAATTTTGCGATAAAACGTTCCATATATTTCTCATCTCTCCATGCCTGTTACATGCCCGTGTATCTCGTCCTTCGTGATTAGATTGTCCTAATTATATACATGGTAAAGAAATACACGACACTCTTAGAATAAAATAACCAACGAGAGATAGCTGATACAACTATAATGTATGTACGTATGAATGCATTATCAGCTCGACGAAGAAATATCCCATTTGAGAATGACGTTTTGCAGGTGTTCTCCTTTACCTTTCATGAATTGTTGTGTCTCAGATGACAGCGAGGACATATTGCAGCACGCCGTTAGTGGTGGATTTTCAGGACATTGTCTATCCGTAGGTGATACGTGTTGTCGAATACACTGTATCAGGCCAGGAATACGAGTAGGATTTTCATTCTGCAAGTGCAGTATTCCCAGAAGGAAAAATAAATTGCTGCTGAATGATCACGTAAGCTGGGAGGCCAAATAATATCCTCGAAGCGAGAAATGAGGGAAAACAAGCCAGGCATCACATTCATAAAACAGCGGATTAAAACTCGCGACTGACGACCTTATCTTCTCTCATGAGTAGAGACTGTGGGCGCCATCGCAATGTTTCTTAGGGGAGTAGCTGTAGAACTTGCTAAGAACTTAGGTTAAGCCTTTTCAGAATAGTTTTACTCGTTTTCATGGAGTTGCGGCTCATTATATTGAAACACAGATGACTCCACATTTAAAACTAATGTTTAATTATTGGTACTAATGTTGACATATTTCCTTTTTTCTTCAATTTTGATTTCGTCTTAATCCGTAGGAAGTGGGGCTGATGTATGTCAGCCCCTACCCCTGCCGGCTCCATGCTCAAGACAGAAGAACATTAACTCCTTTAGATACACATATGTAACGCTCTGAAGAGATCAAGGAGGACTTTCAAGCAACGTTTAATGGAGAGGGCAACAGGATATATGAGCCTTTCTGAAATTATCCCTAGAGACAGACAAGAAAAATGTTTGTTGAAAAATTCATAACGATTCTGAAATATGGCCTAAAACAAATTTGGGAACGCTTGACGGTAATTGACCGTAATTGAGCCTATATCCCTGAAATCGCGAAGACGTACATTTAACGGCACGCCGCCAGTCAGGAATATCGACAGCATGGCTTAGCACAAGAGAGCGCCTCCTAAGAATTGAGCAGAGAAAGGAACTACTCCTGCCATCTACACTCAAGTAAGAGAAACTGTAGCTTGAAATACATGAACCACGTCTTATAGTGGCCTGGGGGGAAAGTGAATTATGTTCGGCCACGCACAGCCTTGCCGTTCACGGCTTCCACCAGCTTTGTTGAAGTCCAGCATCGCCATGTGCTGGAGAAAAACTGCATGTGCTGTCTGACTGCCTCAATGCACAAGAAATATTACTTTTCTCACATTGCCGTAACGGCAACCTAGCGTGCTGTGGGTATTTCATTCCATCATTCGGAAGGAAAGAGGGAAATTTATTTTCGGTGCGGTGGCTATTGTTTGCAGACCTGTACCGTATACCACAGCCTGGTGTTTTGCGCGCGGTTGTCAAGAGCGTTCAAGAACAGCCATAGTTTTGCTTTAGTAGTTTGCTTGTCAGTCCTAAGTGTTAATAAACTAGCTATCCTCTTGCAGTAGTAATGTAATAAGTATTACTTTGTATATTCTGTACTTTATAGAAAGTTAGTAACGTCTTGGAGGGAACGTAAACAGTATGGATCATACAGTGTCTGTTTCCAAGGTAAAACACTGGATTTCTAGCGGTAAATCTTGCAAATTGGTACTGGTTTTCTATCATTCATTTAGAGTTGAACTGATTCTGGTAGATGTAATAGGCCGTTTTTAATTTCTAGGGCTGCTTTGTTCATAAACGACAGAAACGCAACAAAAATACACCAAAGAAACAGTCCTCTCTGACTACAAATAGGCAACCATGGTATAATGCATACAAGAGCTTATGGTCATCTCTTGAGGTGAAGCTGGAGGTAATATAACATAATGACTATATGCAGTGGCGTGCATTACTATTTTTGGTAAGGGAAGCAGTGGTATCTAATAAACGAACTGATAGCAATCAACTCACCAAAATTTACGTCACTTATTGAGTCAATAAGGTCGTTCTGCATTCTGTTCGATAAACCTGTAAATACTGTACTGTTCTCAAGGTGAACGTTGAATTTGTGATCATATTTCCTCAACAAGTGAACTAATTCCACATAATTACCTCGGTTGATAGAATCCACACTTTCGTCATGACCACGGAGGCCAAGTTGCCACTTTCCTAAATGGCAGATGATATCAGTCAAGCCTTTCATTATTTCTCTATGTAGTATCTTCAGGTGCTTTTGATTGTCAAGTTGACAGTCAATTCGAGATTTCCTGAACGTAACAAGTTGCACTGTTGAAATAATGTGAGTCTGAGAGTTCTCATGTTGTTTCAGTGCTATATAAAGTTTGTTTATATCATCAAACCCAGTCTTGTCCCATACATTTTTTCCTTGAGAAACAATAGGTATGGCCAACAAAACAATTTTCCTATATCACGGCAACCGGATAGCCACTCTGTTTTAGAATACTGTTCCAAATTAAATTTCCTCACACATAATTTGATTTGTGCTTTAAGTTCTGGCACTTCTCATGTCAGTCGTCCTCTTTCTATAATTATTTTCTTTTCAGAAAAGTCCCTGCTATTAAACCCCCATTTTAAAAGGCTTTTGATTGCACAGTCACAGTCATGTTGTCTGCCAGCATTCATTTTAGCTGTGCCTGTGCGTGTAGTCTAATCACACCCCTGCCCTTGCACCGCAATAACAGATTTGCTTCCCTTAAACGCAGATAGCCTCTTTCTGATGCGTCAAAATACGATCACAAATACAAGCTTACGCCATCTAAATATACACTTACAATATTTTAATAAAACTTAAGGTTACCTGTAACACCCAACAAGACTGAAATCACACATAAACAGTTAATTTTCTCATAACCATTGAAAGAACACAGGCCTTTGCTTCTGTATCACAGGCATTAGCCCGCAAACAGAAAGTTGCTTCCTTGCCACTTCGTGTGCGACGAACTTTAACGGAGAATAACGAAGGAAACTTTGTCTGTCCCACCAAGCAATGGAAGAGAGAAGGAGGAGGCATGTGGCCTTGAGCAGGAACGCGCACTAAATGACAGTATTCAAATCCTTATTATTCAAATTGAATTATTTATATACGACTTCTTTTCTTTTCGTTTCTTAGCTACGGAAGCAATGCTTCCCTTGCTTCCATGCATGGCACGCCACTGACTATATGATTTCTTCTTTTACCACTATCAGTACTGATAAAGACTGACATGACAATATGTTGAACATACCGTATGAATTATGAATGTGAGAATTAGGAGTTTCTTGTTTTGACTGTCAGCCATTGTTTGTTATATGGCGAAAATTAATGCTGCTGCTTAATTTTTCAGTCATTACAGGAGGAAGTATTTTCACAAATTTTAGAGAACTTAGTTCTTTATATTCAAAACTGCCACATAAACAAATCACGGAACAAAATTAGAAATGAGATACCATCTGCAACATTACTGACAGGTATTATTTTATTATTTTAGTATATTTTATTGGTCCTAATCGTTAATCAATTTTTGTATTAATTTACATTTCTGAGGGAAATGTATATGCAGGATCTTACAGAAGAGTATTATAAATAATTTGTGGAATTATGTAGATATTTTCTTTGCCGAAGGAAGTGCATTCATTGTTTTGATTTCCAGTCATCTGGTGACTTATTTGTACTCATTGAATACTTCTTAATTTCATTATCAAAGTAGAATACATCATCTTCCTCATCAGACGAAATACCTGTATTATCTGCATCCTTAGAGAAAAATAGAGAAACTGAATTTGGATATCTGAGTAACTGAATAATTTCTGTGTTATGACTTTTTTTATCAGTAATCTTCTTTCCAATGCAGTATCTATTCTCATTTGTGTACATTTATATCTCTTTTTATGATTTAGAAGATTTTGCTTGTAAATGTGGCAGTCAGGACTAACCATTTAACATAGTACGTACATATATTACATAATTATAATAATAAAGTGACATAAACTTTGCTAGAGCAGCTGTATGGGAACATAATAATGGGGCACATTAAAATAATGATAACACCACACAGATATTCATAGTGCTAAACAAAACAGCATAAAAAACATGGATGCCACAAGAAGAAAATAGTGCATGAAAAGATAAATGATTTATATTCTTAAGCAAGTGTATTTTAATGAGTGAACAACAAAAATGGATTAACACTGGAATATTTTAAATTAACTAATGCAGTGTAGCAATTTGAACCAGCAAACAGTTGCCTGAGGATGGCCAAGTATGGCAGAAACATGTAGAAATTTAATTTTAATTTTAATGTAGTTTAAGTTAAGGAGTAATTGTACATAAAGTTGCATTAAAGATGGAAGGGAATGTAAAGTGAGTCTAGTGACTGGTGGCTCAGTCTGCAGCCACCTGTTCAAGCTGGTTCTTCGATCGTGGATTTTTCTACTCTGAAGATAGAGGCGATATGTTCCTCCAAACTGTCGGTTCATACAAGATCTACATGGCGCCACATCCCAGAAAATGGCATTCTTCATAGGTGTTACTAGTTTGTATTCCCAGTTGGATATGTTCGTATATGTAGTATCTTTTTAAGGTATTCATATATGGACAGTTGTCTATGTACAACAGGCATGTCAAACTCAACTTGTACAGAGGGCCATCTCAGCCCTATAAATAATAGTCCAGGGCCGCACTTCAAAATAGAAATATACTAAGGGCGTTCCATATATAATGCCTCCTATTTTTTTTTAAAGAAAACTACAACAGATACAGAAATCATAATAATGCAGTTAAATAGGGCAACATTTCAGCTACTTACAGCTATTTTTCCACATAATCACCACCATTCGTTATGCACTTTTGCCATCAATGAACAAGAGCCTGTATGCTGTGCCCGTAGAAGTCTGCACCAGCAGAGGCTAGCCACTTTCTTACAGCTGCAATGACAGCATCATTGTCTGGAAAATGTTGCCCACGTAGTCTGTCTTTCATAGGCCCAAAGAGATGGAAGTCTGAAGGTGCCAAATCGGGGCTATAAGGTGGATGCGGTAGGACAGTCCAGCCAAACTTTGCAATGTGCACGGTGGTCGCCAAACTGGTATGGGGTCTAGCGTTATCGTGTTGCAAGCGAAAGGTTATCTGCTTCTCTGGCCTGACTCGGGAAATACGGGCTTTCAGCCTAGTCAGTGTCATCTTGTAGCGTTCAGAATTGACAGCCCCTGGTCGTTATCTGCTGATCTGTTCGGATGAGGCGCTGTTCATTGTGAGGAGTGGCAGCTGAGCAGGGACGCCCATGGCGTGGCTTGTCTTGCACGTCACTTTCGCCACTGTTGAAACGCACTACCCACTGAATCACTGTGCTGACATCCACTGTATTGTCTCCGTACACCTTTAGCAAGTGTCAATGTATGTCAATGGGTACAATTTGTTCGGCAGTGAGAAATTCAGTAACACATTTCTCTTTCATACGCACTTCTATGTCAGACGCCATTTTGGTAGACTGCTCTGCTGTCGCTATCTGTCGCATGACAACCAAATTAACAGTACATTGGTGGGAAGGTTCATCCTTTACTACAGCACAACCAACATCCAGCTCAGACGTTACATATTAACACAAAAAAAAAAAAAATAGGAGCCATTATATACGGAACGCACCACGTACATTAGATTTTGATACAAGGAAATTTAATTCTATTTATTATTTAGGAATAATTTCAATATAATTACCTAAAATCACATATCTTAGTTTTAAAAAGCAAGAAAATGCCATTTTTGACAAGTATCAAACAGGTTTTCAGTATGTAAAAAGAGAGATTACACAAGAAGTTATGTTAGAAATAGCAAAACATTGAATTTCCTGCAGGCTGCTAATTTATGTCTGCGTGATACTTCTTGTCTTCTGGTCTGTTGGAAAATTGTCTTTACAAAAAATATTTCTACTAAAATTTTAATATTGATTTTAATATCAATTAGCTCTAAAAGTTGAGGGGCCGCACTTTGTGGCCATGGGGGCCGCATGTTTGACACGGCAGATGTACAACATAGAAATTGTATTTCTCTTGCTAGGTGTGAACTTACCAGATCATGAAGCACTGTTTGCAACATTATCAAGTCAGTTACATGATAAGGTGACACCGTACGTAGCCACTCTGCAGGCCCGTCATTGTGCTACAGTTCGCTCTGCCATCGAGCACTTGGTTCTCCAATTCATGAATTACAACAAAGTTCAGAGAGTAAGTAGTTTTTTAGTGTGTCATGTAAATGATGAATTTTTTGTCTGAATAGAGATTAATTATGTCCCATATCAAAGTAACATGTCAAACTAACTAATTAACTTAGTGGAACTGAGCCCTTCTTGAGAAGCTGCCAGTTGTGCAGCAACTCAAGAACTTCCCAGCATTTTTTCAAACCTGAAGGTACATTACCCTGTTCATAAGAGCCCTCCACTGGGCCTTATCCTGAGCCAGATCAATCCAGTCCATCCCATCCCATCCTGTCTCTCTAAGATCCATTTTAATATTATCCAGCCACCTACATCGTGATCTTCCTAGTGGTATCTTTCTTAAGTAACATGCTTTAAGTATATGAGTTATGAAAGGCCTTTTTCACGCAAAGTAATCAAATATAAAGAAGGAAATTAATATTTCGGCATACAAGACAACATACTCTGCATTCATCTTATGCCAGACAAAAAATGGAAGTACAGTGAAGTTACTTAGTTCGTTCATTAACTAATGGTGTTAGTACAACAAATTAACAATTAATGAACTTAATGAATAATCATTTGCCATTGGGCTTCCTATTTAAAAGTGGGTTCACCGTTGAAACCTTGATTATACAGTATCAAATTGAATCTCAAGACTAAATTGTAAAAATGGTGAGTTGTATCATCTTAATTTTGAGGTTATAACCCTTTTTGTCCTGTTGCCAGGATGATGATTTAGAAGAGACAGTGAAGGACAATATAAAGAAGAATCAGTATAACTTTCTAACCTTATCAGCTTGGTACAAGGAACAGTTGAGATCTAAAAGTCCAAAGAAGAAGTCTAAAAATAAGCCAGCCTTGGAAATGGATAAAGATGCTGCCCTTGTTGTTATAATTCCTAATGTGGAAGGTTTCTCACCACACATCTTACAAAACTTCATCCTTATAGCAAGGTAGTATTCATAATATGCCAAGTAGCATAACTGTGATGCCCTGTGCAGCCCATGTAGTAAAATTCTGGACACCTGGACATTTTGGGTTTTGTTGGTTAGGAGTTCTATATACAGAGTGTATACTATATATTTCTATCACTCTGAACATATCTTGGATGTGGAGAGATTCGTTTTATATTGAATTTCCCATTTATTGTTCCTCTGTTTCATATTTTTCTTCATTTTATGTTCATTTTATGTAGTGTCAATGTTAAATTTCCTTCATATACGGCTTTCCATTGTCTGCCATAGATTTCATTGTGTTGGTTTGACACTACTGAACTGAGTTATTTATAAAGGCATTGTAAGACATGACTTTGAATGGACATCTTCATGGTAAATTGATTCTTAGAATGTATTTGCCACGCTAGCAATGGCTGAGGTCACGTAACATCAGACAATTGATATTTATATAACTGTCAAAGATCGACTAGAGGAAATGGCTGTGGCTTGCCTTAATTGTTATATTGATGCTGAGTAAATGAAGATTGTTTATCATGTCCAGTTAGGTCTACTACATGCAAATATCATGTGAGTCACAGGCACTTGTTTTCAGTTTTGTGTGGTTTAGCTTTTAGAGTAACTTTTGGTATAGAGCCTGTATCATTTAGCTTAAAATCCATTACATTAGAATCTACAATGCACTTGCAGATTGGCTGACAACTTTTTTTATGTAAGATGTCTTACCCATTATTTTGCTTGAATGTTATCACACCTCTGTTGCTTGCAGCTCATTTGCACATTCTTACTTCTGGTTTTGCAGTGGTTACATCAACTCACTTCCTTTGGTGTTTGTATTTGGTGTTGCCACCGCCGTCTGTGCTCTGCATCGCAGCCTGCCATACCATGTATCTTCCAAACTTTGCAATGAGGTGTTTCATTCCCAGCCATCAACCGCTTACCTTAATCAAGTTCTAGAGAAGGTACATTACATATACAGTCCTCATGCATTTTTACATTTTTTAAATATTCTTAACATTTTAAGGTGCTAATGGGAATATGAGCCTTGAAGTTCCCTTGGTAGTGAATATTAAGATTATGGTTTTCTGGGTTCTGATGTTTTGTAGTTTGACAGATAGGTACCAACATTTTGGAGGAATCTACCCAACTACATGGCATCACATTCTGGAAGACTTATCTTCAAAAATTGAGATGTTTGTTAAGAGTACTAAGACTGGTAAAAAGTAAAGTTGTCCCTGTGCTCAACGAATTAAGCAAGAACGCCATGAAGGTGTATGGGCCAGTGAATGTATAGATCCACATTTTCTTGACCTCGGCACTAGTTGGAGGTGAGTGATCAGCTTCACGCCCCTGCCACTTTACCTCCATGGAATGAGCCCCCGTTACCCATTGGATAGGAGGTTGGGTGGATCTCAGAGCTGGTCTGGATGATTTGGAGAAGAGAAAATTCTTGACCCTACTGGGACTCGATCTCTGACCCCACAGCTGTGCAGCCCGTAGGCAGTCGCTATACTGACTACGTTACCCCAGCTCCTTACTAAGACTGGTATATATGAATATTCCTATTTATGTTGTTTTTAAGAATATGTACATATTTTTATTCATTTTTTTTTCCAGGTTGTTCTAACTAGCACATGCCCGTTCCAGTTGGATGATAAGACTTTCAAGTTACTGACTGATATTTTCTTATTCTATGACTTATCTGTGTATGGATTCATTCAGCACTACAAGGTGAGAATTTTAGAGCTAAACTCCTACAGTCAGTTCTCTGCTATCAAGGTTGTGAATTACCATAACCATATTCCTGTGAAACATAAGACATCATTGCATCCTGCCTTAAACCAGTGTTTCTTAACCTGTTTAATTACATGCACTACTTAAATTGTCAGAAATTTCATGTGGTCCACTTGTATGTTAATTTGGTTTGTACATCAACCTCTTTTCTTTATTGAGATGTAATCTGAAGGAAGATAGTATGTTTTACTTTGATCAATTTCCTGCCGATGAAGCATAAATGTGCATTTTTTCTTTGTGCCTATTCTTTGTACCAGTGATATTGACTTATGCTGTCATCAGTAAAGCACAATAGATCATTGAAGGTCGCAGTGTGGAGGCCAGTTTTTATGACCCACCCCTTACATTATGCTGTCATCAGCTTTTTGTGTATTTGTCTCCTCAGTAAACCTTTGTTATTTAGTTTTTTATATTCTTATTAAGGGGCACATGGGACTCTGCTACATGGAGTTATATGTTTTCTAATCTTAAATTTTGAAGTCACTGGTTATGTGGAACTGTTTCAAACGACTGTTTAAATTTAATATTTAATGTGAAACACTATTTTTTTCAACATTTTTATTTCATTATTTTCCATTATATGTTAACCCTTAGGCACGGTTTGACATCTCTTTTCATCTTGGGCATTTGGCTGTGGTTTGACTGCTACATTGTCCAGCTGCAGGCCTAATTTATTACGCCCATAAAAATTGATGGGTTTACTGTATTTTGTGAAATTTTTCGCTGGCCTATTGTCAGAAGTACAGTGTGTATCGTTACGTATGCCTGTATGTTATGCCTCGGAGAAATAAACAGTCGACTGACCATGTTTGCCTTTATCTACTGATAAAATAAGTTCATATTCCATTCAGCAGGTCATATTACCTTCAGCAGGAAATACCAGACCAAGCCATTCATAAAGGGGTGCCCAGAAATGTTGTCTTGCTAGTACACATTATTCATAATATACAAGGCATAATAGTGTCAGAGCACTGTGTTCACCCCCCGGTGAGGAAAGAAGAAAATAACTCATACCTACATGTATTAATGCTCTGGCTGGTCTCCAGTGTATGTATATACATCTACTGAAGCCTTGGATGGAAAAATAAACGCGTAGAAGCGACCCCAGCCATGGTAAGACAATGCTCAAATTTACTGCAGCTGAGGTTGCAAAGATGCCTGACTTCGAAAATTTGAGCATTGTCTTACCATGGCTGGCCCTTCTACAAGTCGTGTGCTGGCGGAGGTCGAACTAGTGACCATGCTGGACGAAGTATTGGATGACGAAACCCTAAGTAATTATAGTTCCGATGATGACAGTGCATCGAACTATGATTACACACAACTGGTGCCACCTGAGACCAACAGTGCTAGTGAAAGTGGCAGTGACCATGAGAATATCATGGCCCACGATGGATTTGAAGAGGTGTCCAGGACATTTGTGTGGGAAGATATTGAATCGTTTTCACGCTTCGCGAGAATCGTTTTGTGGTGTGTGTGGTCCCAAGTTTGACACTGCCAAACTAGATGTTGTCAGTGCCTTTGAAAGCATTTTCGATATTTCCCTTGTGCAGCTGATTGTTGATGAAACAAACAGGTATGCTCAACAGGAAATATCGAAAATCGCCAGACCTCTCACATTTCGCTCTAGAATTCGGAAGTGGGAAGATGTGACAGTGGACGAAATGTACGTGGTTTTGGCACTAATTTTGTTGATTGGCATTGATCAGAGGCCTACATTGAGGTCTTATTACTCAAAGGCCGCCTGCTGTTCACTCTGTTTTTTGCAGAGACCTTACCTCTGGAAAGACTTGAGGCCATAATGAAGTTTCTGCATTTTTCGGACAACAGCAAGCAAAATGAGTACCAAGGGCCTCCAAAACTTTTCAAAATTTATCCCGTTATTGAGCTCCTGAATTGGAAATTTCAAAATCTGTATCTTCCGGGTCACGGCATTGCCATAGATGAATCCTTGACCCTATGGAAAGGTCGTTTGTCTTTCAAACAGTACTTGCCACTCAAGGCTGCGAAATTTGGTATCAAAACATTTGAACTCTGCGAGTCTAGCTCTGGTTATGTTTGGTCCTTTCCTGTCTATACTGGACAAGGACTGGAACTAACAAATCAGTATGTGACTGCAGAGACAAACAAAACTGCAGCAATTGTAGTAACACTTTTAGAAAATCTAGGTCGCGGACACACAGTGTGGATGGATAATTTTTATAACTCACCTGATTTGGCTCATTTCTTGAAGTCTAAAAATACAGACTATGTTGGAACCTTACGTACCAACAGGAAAGACGTCACTCCCTTAGTGAAAAATATGAAATTGAAAAAAGGTGAACACTATGCTCAGTACTCAGGAGACGTGGCAGTTCTTGCGTGGCAGGACAAAAAAAGGGTGACCATGATATCCACATACCATAAAGATGATATGTGAGTGGTTGTAAATCGTGCAGACAAGGCAGAAATAAAGCCTGTGGTTGTGATTACAACAAGAACATGCTAGGGGTGGATCTGAAAGACCAGATGCTTCAACCGTACCTGCTTGAACGAAAGAAGGGTACCAAGTGGTACGTGAAATTGTTCAAGCGGTTACTCAATGTAGCGATCCACAACAGCATGGTAATCTATCGGTCCCAAACAAACAAAAAGATGGACACTCTACAGTTCAGACTTTCGCTGGCTCGAGGCCTCGTGGAAAAGCACGGTTCTGGGGTTCGTCGTCCTGTACACGGCCGTCCGTCAGTTCAGCCACCACGGAAACGACTCACGGGAAGACATTTCCCGGAGCGTCTTCCCCCCTCAGGGAAGAAGTCAAGACCTTACAGAAGGTGTGTGGTGTGCGCGAGAAAGGGCCACAGGATACTCAGTATTGGTGTAAATGTGAGGCAGCGTTGTGTGTAGAATGCTTCAAAGTGTATCATACACTACTGAAATTCTAAACCACCTGCTTCCATTGCCGAGATACAGGGCGCTCATATTATAAGGTAAGATTATAAAACCATCTTTTAAGATCATTTTAGTGAAAGTTTCATGTTTATATCTCATATAATTTAAAAAATAATGATGAATAAAAGATTCTCTTTCAAAATTTAAATGGGCTGAAAATATTACCGCCGGAGAGACACGGCAGCGGAATTTAAATGACCACACTGAAAAATGACTGCGGTGAAGGGTTAAATAACCTAGTTGATTGGTTGCTAAGGAGTGGATTTACAAGATGTAAATTCAAGCTTCATGTAAGTTCAGTATATTCTGTTGGGTGTTTTTTACGTAATATTTTCTCTCTTGCAAATTCACCCTGCTTCATATTTCATTATATCACCTTCCTATTACGTTGGATATTTTATTTTTGCAGTATTGTATGATGGAACATTTCTTCAACTGTGATCATAATGTTCTGTGCTGCTCAATTTCTGAACTGTCACAGAACATTAAATCTCTGAGTAAGGAACAGCTGGAGGAGTTGCGTCAGTTGCCCTCTTTCCGTCGGTATGTGGACACATTGCCGAAGAAAGAGAAAGCTCCTCTTCTTCTTGATGACCATCATTTTAAGGTTAGTAAAGTCAATGATTGCAGCAATATACCCATTTTGTATTCTTAGATGTGTTTCAAACATACTTTGAGGAGCAGAGATTGTTTCATTAGCCCACCTGTTGGTAAGAGTTCTCAAACCTAGAACTGATCTCATTGAAACTGGATGTAAAATACCTACACTAAATTTTATGAGGCCATTTCAGTTTTGGTTTGGTTCACTTTTCTTTAACACTTCGTGGACCAGACGCCTAGGCCTAGGCGTTTGGGTTTTAAACATGGCAGACCGGTCGCCTAGATTTAGACTTTTAGGACACGTTATGTTTCAACACACTATTCCTCGCTTTGGTGGCCACGTGTCTGTAAAAGTACTGCGTAGCTGACCTTCAGAATGTTTGTTTTCCAAGTCAGCAACATGACCACTCTATTCCCCTCTCACTCTAAAGAAAAGTCCCTTTGTTCAAGTCGAAGCTTCTATGTGTGAGGCAAGATATTCTCAGCGTCAACATGGCACAGAGACGAAAGCAGTTGAAGGCTGCGCGAGCTCTCGGAGAAGAAGAAATCTGTGATTTGAGTTATCTGACTTGCCAACTGCTTCGTCTTCTGATAGTGTGGACAGTGTCAGTGGCAGTGACAGGGGCCCCCAAAATATTGTGACCAGAAAAGAAAGTGAAAGTGACAGTGAGAGCTCCGATGAAAGTGCGAGCGCTAGCATTGCGGGGACAGCCACATGGGGTAAAATGGACAAAACACCCACTTTGGGAAAGTTTACTGGTGATCCAGGGGTGAGACAAATGCCATCGGACCCTACACAAATGTCTGAAGTAGCTGAACTGTTTTTTGGAGATAGAGATACTCGAGTTGTGAATATGATTTCCACAGTTCACAATTCGAGCATGGTTCATGTTCAAAGGAGACATGGACAAGTAAAGAAGCCTATTTATATTCCTGAGTATAATATGTTCATGAAGGGAGTTGATAGAGCTGATCAATACTTGGCCTATTATTCTCTTCCTAGATAAACAATAAAGTGGACAAAGAAAGTTGCTTTGTGCTTATAAATTGTGCCATTTTCAATTCATTTTTGGTTTACAAAAATCTAAACCCCAATTCAAAACTGAAATACAAAGCATTTCTGATGAATGTGGCAAAGGCCTGGGCTACAGACCAGATGGTGGCGGCAGAACGAGAGTCAGGCACAGACTTAGTGGGACCGGGACCATCGAGTCCCACCCATCTCAGGCCTCATGTGGACCCCCCTGGGCGACTCTTGGGTGATATGCGGAAATATACCCTCGTGAAAATTGTGAAAGATTGAACATTCCAAGGGGAAGCATCCTTCTAGGCAATGTCGTGTTTGCACAGTTCACAGAAAAAGGAGCATGACTGCCTACATTTGCAAGTTCTGTGTAATGCCACTTCACAAAGGGGAATGTTTCCAGGAATATCACACTCTCAAGCACTTCTAGGAGCATTGGTAAGTGTTCTCCAAAAATTTTAGTTCATAAAATTAATTATGAGATTTTATATTAATTTTTAAAGTGAACAGTGCACAAGTTAGGAAAGTAGGTTTAAAAATGCCGGTCCCCAGGGTGATTTAGATATTTAAATTGCCGGTCCGCAAAGTGTTAAAAGAAACATTACATATGGGCCTGAATTACTTGTTGCATGTTTGGTATCTTTGAAATACTTTTAATAGTAGAATTTGCTGAATTCTTCTTATGCGGTTAGTACCATATACATGCATTTAATTTATTCAGGCTCACTTGAAGTCGAAATACATTTAGCTAAGAAATCTGCTGAGCGAAGAAAGTCCTGTTTATTTTTTAAAACACGCTTCAGAGACTGAATTCTGTCCCTGTCCTCAAGTAAAACCTACTCAGTTGGGTCCAATAGATAGAGCTAGCCCCTGTCTCCGGACTATGGGCTAGCTCTGTCTATTGGATGCAACTGAGTAGGTTTTACTTGAGGACAGGGACAGAATTCAGTCTCTGAAGCGTGTTTTAAAAAATAAACAGGACTTTTTTTAAAAATAGACAAAACGATGTATAATGTTCAAAAACATAATACTTGTAGCAATATACCATCATAACAAACTTTTAGATCTTATTTGAGAGAAGAATGTCTTGAATAGAATCTATAGATATCAATATGCAATCATGCTGATTTTGAGAAAATTGTTAATACTATAACAGTAACTGTTAACTCTGCGTCATTGGTAGCATTGTGTGAGATCTTGTAATCATCCTGCCATCTTACAAATATCACATGATTTATCTGTTCTCTGATATACCAAGATTACAGACAGGCATCATGTGAAGAGTGAAGTGCATTTTAATGCTGCTCCCATCTCTGCATTTGGTGCTTGTTTAATGGCTAAATATGTAATAATTAAAATCACGTAAAGAGCTTTCTTCAGCCTGGATGGCACTTCTTTAGAAAACAGATCTGTATAAGGAGTAGCTAAACCAAAAGGAACTACATGGCTAACTGGAAAAGGGAGGGAAGAGGAGCTGTTCTTATTGTAACTGCTTCCATATTGACTATAGGGAAGAGACAGGAAATTTAAGTGACAGTAGGCCAGTTTTACAAACTAGTTATGTGGCATTTTCCTTTTCCAAGCATGCAGCCTTCATTAATTTTTTTTTGTGTTCACAGATACCTTACCTAACCATATGTCTTGTAGAACCCCCTTAATATCTCAGTAATGTGTCTGGCTGTGGACTAGACAGTCTTGATTTGATTCCCAGAAAGGTTGCTGGGAATTTCTTTCTGCACCACTATTCCCATAGTGTGTGAGAAATTCACCCAGCTGTCTTTCCAGTGAGCACTCAGAGTACCTTTCTCAGAAGTAAAGGCAAGAAGAGCATGAAAGTGTCCACTTCAGTGTAATGTCAAAGTCTGAGAATGTATGGACCTTCACTCTATGTTCCCTATACACCCCCATGGTATATTACTTAAGTATAGGCATAAGTTTACAACCCTTATGCAATAATTAACATATTCTGACATATGTGCTGAAAGCCAAGGCATGTTGCTAGGCAGTGGTGCAATTACCATGTCCCCACAGCAGCAGTAACATAGTGCAACAATTGAAGAACCGTTGGAAGTGGTATTTTCTGTTGACTCTGCCCTGAGGCTATATCACAAGGACCAACAAGACAAGCCAGTTAGGGAGATGCCCATGTGGAGGCGGGTTTAGATACCTCCACCATAGCCCAGTGAGCTGTAGGAGGCAAGGAAAAGGGAACCCATTGCCTGGGGGTTATAACTGGGCATAATGTCTGAACAGCTAATGAAGGCTGTCTTGAGAGGCCTCGCTTGTGAGTCATGCCTCATGTACGCTGATGATGTGATCATGATTTGCCGCATGTTCCAGGAGCACCTGCTCAACTTCCAGAAAGTATTCCAGCGGTTCTATGAGGCCCAGCTGAAGCTCAGCCCAGAAAAGTGACAATTTTTCACAAACAGTTACAATACATGGGTCATATTGTGTTGGTAGAAGGAATAACCGCAGATCATGAGAAGCTGAACACAGTACGGGAATGGCCGACCTCGAGGAACAAGCGGGAAATAAGGAGCCTCCTGGGATTATGCACTTATTACAGATGGTTTATTTCCAGTTTACCTGACATTTCAAAGCCACTGTCCAGACTCGCTGAGAAAAAGCAAGCCTTTCAATGGACCCCAGATGTAAAGGCTGTCTTCCAGTTGCTAAAGAACCAGAGCTGTGGAACACAGAAGCTGAAGAATCTCTGGCATTGGGAGTGTTGCCGGGTGACAACCAGTGAAGACACAGCAGACTGAGAAGACTTAGTGCATGCTTTAGTGAATTGTAGAGCATGTGAATTAGTGATAGCACTGTTATTACTTGGTACGATCTGTAATGTTCAACAAAGCCAATTACTGATCCAGACTTTGTCCATAGTAAGTCAGTCATGTTACAGTAATGTAAAGTGTTTGGAGAGATATTTCCATGACAACAAAATAACAGTGGGCTGTTGCATAGGAATTGCAGAATCAACACATGCGTTTCCCCGTTGCGTTACAATGATTGTTGAACCAGCAGGAATAATGCACTTCCGTGGTAATGAGTCAGTCTTAGTATAGCTGCCATCGGAGACGGTTGAATGGATTTGCTGAGATGTAGTTGAACAGCAGTTGATATACGGGATTGTATAAGGTTAAGAGTCATTGTGATATGGTATTGTGATATTGTGTAAAAGCAAAGGAGAGTAAATATTCGCCAGATCCCTGAACGGTGTCAAGTTATTTGTCATGTGACAGTATATTACTTGCTCATGTGCAACCATTTGGTTTGTGTACATGCTGAGCCATCATTTGTATCATATGGATCTGGGGGCAGATGGATCCATGATTTTGTTGTGAGACTACCTAAAATGACTGTTTTTACAGGAAGTGCTTGAGGAGCTAATGACAGAACTACATGGATACCTGCTGAACTTACACACATATCTGAGGTGCCTCCACACTCTGACAGCATCACTCCCAAAGTCACCGTTAGGAAAGCAAGTATGTGTGCTGCAGTTGCATTCCACAGCTGTGCAAAGAAGTGTAGATTTGAAGGCGGTCAGTTCAGAAATGCAGTCATACTATAATTTGGTTCTCTTCCTTTTCAGTCGAAACAAGCTTTAGCACCATTGATTTGAATTCATTTTATTGTGCATCTTATTTTGCCCTTGTCTGGTGGATAAAATCTTCACTTAAGGGTTTCAGCTCTCCATTTTAGAAAGTTTAGCTTTCAGGTGAAAACAGAAAAGTGTTTCTGCCCTAGCAAAAGTTTTTTTTTTTTTCTTCAAATTGTTTTAACTGTTACCAGTTCAAATAGTGTAATCAAATTATACTTGTTTTTCCTACCAAGTACATGTAGTTCAATCAGTATGGCATGAACATATCTATTAATGAATGCAAGTTTGTCCAAATTTAATGTTTTGTGTAAAGTGGCAGTTGAAACCAACCAATATGAACCAAAATCTCTGTACAGTGTTGTCCAGTTTTGGGTTTTTCTTTAGGTATTGTTCAGCATGTGATGTATAACCAATTATTCTAGTGTTAAGCTGCGCCTAATTAAAGTTTTTCTGATTTGTGTTCAGATCCATTGTATGCCAAATAAATTTTCTTCCTTGTTTCCAGCTGTGGTCTATTGATCTTACCATTCTCTGTCTGTGTACTCATAGTACAGGATTCTTTGTATTCTTGGTAGGGCATAATTAAAGACGATCAGTGGAATGAATCTGCAGGTTAATGTGGGCTCCAGAATCATTGTATGGTTGTGATATGGGCATTCACAAAGTTGTGATTGTTACAGGTGAGGGATGGAGCATGTTCATGGAAAATCTGCATTGCCACCATGGCCACACACTTGAGATTTGTGGTATTACAAAGGAAGCTAATGAATGCATTTCTCTTAGGTCACTCTCCTCTTTAAATGGGGATTTAACTTTGTGTAGATTTTCTGTATGTCTCTGTTCCTGATCCTCTCCTGACCCTAAGAACTGAAATCTTTTCCAGCTGAGGGAAGTATACAACATGGCCATCTGTTGTGACATATCTGAATCACCTCAGTTCAGAGAGTGCTTCCAGCTGCTTGGTTTCCAGTCGCGAGAAGAATTACTGGATAAGCTTGGGAAAGTCCTCGGCTTTCTTGAAAGTGCCTCAAGCAACATGTCAGTGAAAGTCTCTCACCTGAAGGATGTACAAGAGGAGCTGTCAAAGTATTACACTTCGATTGCAAATATGGGGATAGAAGCTACTGAACAACCATTGAAAAGTCCAAGTAAAATTGATATTGGGGAAAATATTAACAGATATCAACTGAAAGAGGTAAATGCTGGTTATTTATGAAACCTTATTTGATATTTCTATTGAAAATCTTTAAAATGTCTGTACTCCACTATTGTTAAAGACATTTGAAATGACGTTTTTGCTCCACATCCTCACTGTTCACTCCCCAGCACATCCCAAAACAAGGAGGTTATTTAACTTACATTTAAGTATAAATACTTTGAACTTTAATAATTTTTACCCTGAATCATTTTAGACATTAAGTACCATTTTTCTCAAACGCAGTTTACTCATGTGCCAGCAAAATGAAAAACGTTTCTTATGAGTTCTTCAATTTTTGTGTGAAACAGTTTCTGGCCTGTTGAATATTAAACGAAATCTTCATAAAAATTAATCTTAGTTGTAATGCATTCATAGACTGTATTAAAGGTAAAAGGTAAAGCTATCCCTGTAACAGGCCATGGAGGCCCATAGGGTTGTGAGACGTCAAGGCTGCCACATTTTCTAGACAATCTGCTCACAGATGGTGGCGAGGCTGTCAGTCTTACATGCTGGCTGCTGTTTACCCCCAGAAAAGTTGAAATTTTAGTCCAGACCACCAGTTTAAAATTTTATGGAAATCTGGTCATCCACAGTGGATTCCCTCCCACTTGTGTGAAGAGAAATAGTGTATGTTGTGTCCACAAACTCATGGGTGGTTTGCTGATAGTTGTGAAGTACTGAAGTTGTGAAATGGCAGGTCATGTTTCCTTCTTAGAATTCAAATGTGAGCTGTGATGTAGATGTGATAACCACTAGAAGCCGATGTTCACAATTGCTTGTTTAGAAACTACTGGAGTTGTCACGTAAGCAGAAACCACTGTCAGCCTATGAAGAGACAAGGAAGAACCTTTTGGACTACTTGGCAGGATCAGTTTTCCCACAGTTCCTTGTTCCACCAACAAATGTACCATTCAATGAAGTTTTCTTCTTCAACAATGTGGCAAGAGTCAAGAGACACATTGTTGGTACACCAAGAGCTGCAATACACATGGCTCTGAACAATCCGCACTACTATTTGGAGGTAAGGAATATACATGTGTTTGGATATTGCCTTCACTGTTATTTACCCAGTAGGTTATCTTGGTGGTGGCATATCTGATTTGAATTCTGAGAGCACGATTTTGAATCTCATGTGGAGTGCTGAGTATGATAAACAAGTTTCTTCATTGATTTACCTGATCCTACCAGGCAAATATCAGGATATTACAAAGAAGTAGGCTGCAGCACTTTCTTCTAATGAGCGTTCTGATTTGTTTTATTTTATTTTTATTTGTTTCTGGTACTATATAGTGCTAAATTTTATAATTTGGGGTAAAAGGTGAACTTGTCCCTGTGCTTAATTAAGCATAAAGGCATGTGGGGGGGTCAAGATATATCTCCATGTATTTTTACAAACGAGTTTTCTCAAGCAGTAAGAGGGTTTCCTGGTATGAATATCAGCTTTAGCTCCACCTGACCTTGCTGAGTTTTTTTTGTGTATGTGGGGTTTTTCTCAATCTCTCCAGTTAATGCTGGGATAGTAGCTCAAAATAGGCCAATACTACTTTCTCTAAATATGATATATAATTATGAAGTCCTTTTGCTGGGCATATTAATAACGTAAGCAACAACAGAAGACAGCTGTTTCCTCACCCAATAATTTTTTAACACCTGATGATGACCACCTTGGTCGAAACATGTAGTGATGCAGTTTTGAACTTTCATCAGTCTTGGTCATCCTTTCATAACTCATAACACTAAATAACTATTGCAGCTGGTACATCATTATTAAATAACCTACAGTCCATCCATGCATTCTTAGACTTGGCAGTAGATGGAAGTAAGTGGTGAGCTTCCTTCTCCAGTCAATTTAACCTTTATCGGACGAACGTCATCATATGATGTCGTTAAAAGTAAGGGCAGCTGGCCGAACGTCATCATATGATGTCGCGGATTCCACATGTGTAAGGTTTTTTTTAATATTATATTAAAAATATAAATTGTT